TCACCAGACAGCCCGCTTCCAAGTTGCGCGAACCTATTTCACTGCGCACGTGCTATGAGCGCAGCCCAGCTGTTGAAACCCGTATTCCCCAGAAAAGTCTGGGGAAAATTAGTGAAACGTTTGAACTCCGATTTCGCGCGTTTTTTTTCATCGCGTTATTTTTCAACTTTATAAGTTGAATTTGCATTTTTGACGATTTGTTTCGTTAAGCATGTTAAACATACCCTTTGAGGTAATTTCCGTGGCGTGGATGCCATGTTTGTTTTACAAGTAAACTAGAGTTACATGCCCTTGAAAATAGTTCGGCGACTAGACTATTTCTTTCTCTCTGCGCTTGTGCGCTCAGACAGAGTCAAGTTCAGTAAAATGGCTACGAGAGGGGTACGAGTCCTCTTTCAGGTTACGGAAAGGGACGAGTAGTTACGAATGGACTGACAACTGTGCGGAAGTATGCCGTGACCAGTGTGCGAAATAACCACTGGCTAACTAGCCCGTGGCTAGTAAATTTCCAGTCGGGGCAGTAAATCTCCAGTCACTGGCCGACTAGTGAATTTTAATGGGGTTTCATTTTGTAAATATATCACTCTCTCCGACTTGTTAAGTTATAATACACTTATAAATGATGCAAGATTATGGCCTGATAACAATGTTCATTAGCAGCTTAATGATGAAACCCGTGTCATGCCGATAATATCTCATTCTCATCTATTTTTGTAATATTTTGCTTAGTTTCTACATTCAACTTTCGGGCAAATGAATTATTTTGTGGACTATTAACTTTGAGGCATAGCTAGCCCGACTGGCTAGCAAAGTTTGGAAACTATTTCGCACATTGTCCGTGGCCAGACGTTTCTTGCAAATGTAAGGCTGTTCTTAGGAAGAAATATGTATACATGGGTCTAACGCAAGACTTCCGGTGCGGTTGACTTATTGTTATAACAGACAGACAGATAAATTTCTACAACTCCGACAGTCAGCTAATAACAATATAGCTTCACTCATCAAAGTCGCCTCGATAGCTATCCTCTGGGTTTCGACGACGTCACTTGAACAATTTATGGAAGTGGAAACATTTTTTCCCGTTTTAAGGAATCAAACATTTCTTTTTTATCTAAATATGTAGACACGTTCGAAATAAAACAGATGATAAAAATATACAATATCTGGAATTGGTGTAAGACGTCGGCGTGAGATACCTGGCTTGGCGCAAGGAACTCTGGGTAAGGAGCCGGACTGATTTATACGACCGAGGCATTTTTATTGTGATTTAGGCTTTGATGAACACTGGCTTCTAATCAAATCAGGTCGGCAATTAGTAGATTGTAAATCATCCGGACGAGAAGCCCACAAGCAATTTCTACAATATGGATACGATGAAAGCAAGGCCGAATCCCGGTTCTCTGCGCAGCGCTTTGGTTGTCTGTCTCGCTGTAGGGAGTTCCGTTGTTGCGGGTTGAGAATTAGATAGTGCTTGAACTACCCAATTATTTTATGCATGATTTAGAAACATACAGAGTGGTTGACTCTACCATTTTAAGTTTTCGAGGTTATACTTGTAATAACACCTTCTCAGTCATGCAGAGATTCGAGAACTTGTTTGGGATGTGCATTCGTTGTATGATTAGAAAACACATTCCGACTGTCATTTTCCTGATCAGTGAGTGAGTGAGTGAGTTTGTTTTACGCCGCTTTTAGCAATATTCCAGCAATATCACGGCGGGGGACACCAGAAATGAGCTTCACACATTGTACCCATGTGGGGAATCGAACCCGGGTCTTCGGCGTGACGAGCGAACGCTTTAACCATTGGGCTACCCATGGCGGACTGCCCAAAATAGAGCAGCAGTTCCTGATCAACTGGGTGTTGTCGTACAAAACAACCTTAGCGCTAAGACTACCTTAAGTCTGTGTTAAGGTATGGGAGCCTAGTGGTAAAATCGTTCACTCCTCACGTCGATGTCCCGTGTTCGATTCCCGACATGGATACAATGACAATGAGGCCCATTTCTGGTGTCCCCCGCCGTGGATGTTATTATATGCGGCGTAAAACTATACTCCCCCACTCACCGTTTAGCCTCACCTCCGACTTCTTAATCAGTTATGTATTAATTGAATGTGTTATATTTTATCTTAGCCTCAGTAGTTTGCATGTAACTTTAGCACGAGAACTACAGCTGTTCCGTCACAATGCGTGGAACGTATCATGTCCGTCGGAGGTTCGGTAACCTAGTAGATAAAGCGTTTGCTCCTCACGTCCAAGAATTGGGTTCCATTCCACACAGGGGTACAATAAGTAAAGTCCATTTCTGGTGATATTGTTGGAATATTGCTAAAGCGACGTAAAGCCATACTCACTCATCCCAAATTTCATGATCCATGACGTGTGTACGTGTGTGTGTGTGCGTTTACGTGTAAAAGGCGTGTGTGCGCATGTACGACCGTTTGTGTTTTCTAACGTCGCTCTCAGCAATAGTACAACCATATTCGACTGCGATCTCTGAACAAACCTGATTGACCAGACAATCCAGTGATTGACATCATGAGAACTAAGTTATGCAACTGGGATACAATGTTACCTCAAGGAGCATGACCATCCATTAGTTTCTGGGGTCTATATTTTTTTCGGAGCCCAATCGTGTTTTTGTTTCTAAATTGGACAACACGTGGCACAAAGATACAATATAATTCTTCTCATTTTCAGCCAAACTATTCCAATCTCATCACCACATTTCAGAGCAAAGTTTATTTTCAATGTCAAAAACTTAACAGTGTCTGACACGGTGATCCAAGCGATGCCAATAACAGGTGCCCGCAGACCCGAATAAAGCCTATCGGAATTGGACGTTTAGAAGTAGTAAAACCGGAAGTGTTGTCTCACAGTTCCGTTTTCCTATCTACTATCACGACGGGTAATCTACATGGGCCCTTCTAGGTGTGTTTATTTCACCTCCAACGATAACAGTATCGTAACCGTCGATCACGCAACAATACGAACGCGTCACACATGGCAGCTGCTCATTGTGAGATAAGATACCCCAAAACGTTCACAGATGTTTCCAATCATTATCCCATAAGCCAGACCCCCTCTTCGTTTGGTTTTATTATTTTATGATATATCCATGTTAAAATCATTAGCGTCTGCGTATGGCAATTGCATAAACCCTAGAATTTTAATTACCTTATCGTCGGCCGAAACGTTCACGATTACATAACGAAATCAATGCCTGGGAGGCCTTTAGCTGTTTGGGTTAATTGAGCCATGTTTATGTCTTGCTTGTGATTGAAGTTAGCTTGAAACTTACATGTCTCTTTGAAATACATTGCATGTATATTTCACTGACAGTGGGCGGTTGAGATATAAAAGTGTATTTGATAAATACTGCATGTACGCTTCGTTGATAGTTGGAGGGCGGTCCCAACTTGCGTGTATATTTCATGTATATTTCTTTGTTGGTGGGCGGTCGAAACTAGATTATGATCTAGCCCTAACGAATTATATAATGTAATAAGATTCACATTTCGCTTCAATATCTGCATATAATTTTGGTCTAAATATACCTACTGATGTGCTATTTCTATAACAGTTCTGATGCTATTTTTTAAAGGAAGTGACCGAGATAACATTTCAGTTGAACCGATGTAATTTCAACTTGTGAAAAAGCTGGTTCAGACAGATAAACATGTGTTGGGGTGGTAGATACAAGATCACGTATCCTAATGATTATAGCGTGGTCGTTATTTACAGTGTTTGAACATCAGGCTTCTCGTGCATATCATTAAGTAGAGGATAGAAATTTATAGTCTGATTGTCGTTTTGTCACGGTTGATAGGGATTTAATAACGGTGGTGAATAATTAAATAAACATCCAAAAACAAGACCCACGAAGGTCTGGGTTAGAATGAACCTTCAGTGACCCATGCTTGTAGTAAGAGGCGACTAACGGGATCGGGTGGTTTGGTTGACACATGTCATCGGTACCCAGTTGCCCAGATCGATGCTCATGCTGTTGATCACTGGATTGTCTGGTCCAGACTCGATTATTGACAGACCGCCGCCATATAGCTGGAATATTGCTGAGTGCGGCGTAAAGCTAAACTCACTCACTCACTCACTCCAAAAACAAATGTAAAACTTGATGCTCTGGTCACCAAATAGGGGTTTGATAAGAGTTGAAAATCTTGCATTATTGACGAATGTAAAATCTGAGGCACATAACTCAGAGATAAACTTTGAAGTCTTCATTCAGAAGATGCCAGAAGACGAAGGCCTTTATGGATTTTTATGAACACAGCTTCCTAATCTTTGTACTGACATTTAACTCGTGAAGAATTGGTCTTCAACAACCACTTGTCGTAAGAGGCGACTAACGGGATCGGGTGGTCAGGCTCGCTGACTTGGTTGACATATGTCAATGTATCCCAATTGCGTATATTGATGTTCATGTTGTTGATAATAGGGCTGTCTGGTTCAGACTCGATTATTTACAGACAGCCGCCGTATAGCTGGAATATTACTGATTGCGGCGTAAAACAACAAACAAATATAATGTAATGACATTTTAGGATTTGTCCCTTCATCGGGTACAAAGGTCGGATTAGTTTTACAGTAATACACGCGGAAGTCAATATGACTGACCGGAGCGCAGGACAAGAAGCTCTGATATGTAGTTACAAAATTGATTTGTTATCCATTAAGCATTCATGTTTTCATAAGCATTGAAACACGTTTTAACGAGCTATTTTCGAACGCTGGTAATTGTATATGTTTTCTCAAAGTAGGCTATGGTGAAATTTATTTTCCTACTTCTTGATGAACAGTCGAAACAGATATGAAAGTAAACAATAATTTCGTCAAAAAGTCCTGTTTTTAGGAAACTCCCTCAGTTGTTTAGCGTAGGCCGTCTTGTGTGGCGACACTTTGTTTACTTACAACCCAACAATACAAGGGTCTACCATGACTTGTTTTGATCTTCATCCAACTCATTTGTAATCATTTCCAGGTAATCTCCAAGCTCCTAACACTGCCCCGTGTTGATTCTGGTTTGTGTCGTGCGGGCACCTGGTTGGCTCCAAACATCACGGTGTCAGATAGTAGGTGCGAGAATGTGGCCGCAGCGTCGATGTATGGAGCAATCGCGCAGCCGATATCGGCAATGTGATGTGGAGCTCAGCGGAGGATCGCCACAAAATATCTTCAGCAGACGATAATTGCCAGCGAGGCTCTTGCTTTGGAATATGGAACATTTCCTGCAGCGACCAGATGGTGAACGCACTTAGATGTGATATAGTGATCGTCAGTGGGAAACGTTCAATGATTTTCGAGGAACAAGTAGTTTCGACACCATTTACAAGATTAAAAGATCTCCAATTTGCGAAACTATTTACACGGGGTTTTTTTCTGGTTCACAAACGTGAAGGACAACAAACAATTGACACTTCTTGAACCTTTTGAAGTATTTATTTCTCGTGCGAGCACAAAAAGTTTATGATTCCGACGGATGTGTTTTAGAAATCCAGCTGTTCAGACTCAACTTTGGACTGAGAAGCGTTGACGAAGTCAGTTCACGGGAGATTTTTACAACATTTTTAAGTCCAGTTAAACATCTCGAGAAATTGAGGAGCACCTTCGTTTGACTAATTAACCAAACTGATTACAGAACAAATCGAACATGGATGGTTCAATGGTGTGTTGGATTTACCTGTTATGGTCAATTGGTGGATATGCTGTGAGAACGCAACAGGTAAGAAACACTTAATTCATTATCTATGTGCTTTTATTATTAACATGTTTTAATCATCTTACCGTCTTAACGAGTTTTCGTAATTATGATGACTTTTTGTCATTAAGAACTAAATAATTTATGTATATCTTTGCTTAACGAAGTTCTGTCGGTATATTTTGAAAAGCAAAGAAAAGAAACGTATACACTTGAAACTTCGTTAGACTTGTTACAGTTATACAGCCTCCTAAATAAAACAACCTTACATTGGTGTTCTAGGTATATTCTAAGGTGAAAGTATTACGACACATTATACCATATATACATTAAACTAAAATCTCAGGGTTACGATCTTGTCATGAATTATTTTGAACGTTTTCATCATTAATTAATTTAGTTCCAATACATATGTCATCGCCCTACTGTGATCGTAGGAATGAATACTTATATCAAAATGTCAAAGATCCATGACCTAAAATTGTCTGAATCACCTTGGGCTGTCATCCTAAAATAACTTGAATTGACGTGATGAATGATTAATTGTGTGAAACACAACACAGTTATTCTAGACCAGTAAAACCGCTCAAAATGAACCCGTTCTCAGCGTCATTTGAAATAGATCATCCCCGCGAAGTTGCAAGTATTTCTACGAATTTCCTTTTTCAGCGAAATATCCTTATCTCAACCCAAAGTAAGTTACCAAAACAGTGACGTACGTGTTCACGCGGTACATAATCTGTTTTGACTAATTCAGGTGTTTTATAACTTTTGATCATATTATTAAGGCGTTTGTATTCTTGAATTCTGTAATTAATTTGCAACTCTAGATTTTATTAAACAATATATACTTTACACTGCTTGTAATGCGAAAGTCCTAATGAAACGAGTGAAGATTTTATTCAGATTCAGGATCTGATTCTCCCGTGTCACTAGAGCTCCCTTTCAATTTAGATGAAGTTATTTGTTTCTCTGGGGGCGGTAGTGTAGCCTAGTGGTTAAGAAGGCCCCGTTTCGATTCTCCAAATGGGGACAATGTGTGAAGCCCATTTCTGGTGTCCCCACCGTGATATTGCTGGAATATTGCTAAAAAGGGACGTAAAGCCAAACTCACTCACTTTTAATTTGTTTTTCTCACAGTTACATATTTTCAGCTATGTATTAAGTTGTGTATGTGTAGAGTATGGCATAGTAACAGAATAGTATTGTTATGGCTTTCACCTTTGGTTATTTGAGTGCCGGTGGGGTAGCCTAGTGGTTAAAGCGTTCTCTCGTCATGCTGAAGACCTGGGTTCGATTCCTCACATGGGTATAATGTGTGAAGCCCATATCTGGTGTCCCCCGCCGTGATATTGCTGGAATATTGCTAAAAGCGGCGTAAAACTAAACTCCCTCACTCACTTGATTATTTGAACATTACTGGTCAATCTTCACAGCCTACTGACACACGGGTACATATTATGGCTATTGGTTTTTGTCTTAGTTGCGCATTCGGTTGGGAATAGTCAAGTGTACTCGCAGACTCTACGACCGGTCTGACCTCAGTTGTGAAGCAACCGATTCCCCGAAACAAAGAAAAGCAATGCCCTAAGAGACAGTTAGGTGTCAATGAAACGCAAATATGTCCGTGCGAGGCGTTTGGCGGTTAGGAAACTATGGTCATCATGTTGGGCGGATATTGAGATACGAGTCTTCGTAACAAATTGCAAATTTATACATGTGATCATTATTCAGTTCACTTCAAGGCGTATGTGTCATATCCTCTCTCTCAAACAGGTTTCCCCATACTTGTGATATGGGGAGACAGCAGATGTTATAGCAGTTGCGATTGTTCGAAGTGGATCTTTGGGACATCCTACTTCCTCAGATGTTGCTGAAATGCAACATGTCGTATACTGTGAGAAGTGTTCTCTCTCTCTCTCTCTCTCTCTCTCTCTCTCTCTCTCTCTCTCTCTCTCTCTCTCGCTCTCTCTCTCTCTCTCTCTCTCTCTCTCTGCTCTCTCTGAGCTAAATCGTACACGCGTCTGTCATATCTCAACTACAGAGCTATGCTCTACGATTTGACGTCTTCAATTGCCAATTTAAGGCTGAGACCATCTAATAACTGCCTCTTGACTTTCACGTCCAAAAGATGTAATTTTCTACAATTTCCCTCTAAATTGTACGCGAATCGACTTCGTAATCAAAGTCGTTTATCATATTGCTGTCTAGGAACAACTTATCTATAAACATGGAATTATCCAGCTTCTTCAGGAGAAGGTGATTATTGCTATTCGCCGCAACGGAATCTTGCAGCTTTACGCGGATAAGTCAGTTAAAGAATGAGTGACACATTTGAATATTCCTCCAGTCACTGCAACGACACATTACGTGTTGTCTTGTGGCTAATGGGGGCAGGCGTTATTGCATTTTAATAAGCAGAATTAAGACATAGAGCCACAACCCATTAAGACCCGGGTCAGAATTGGTCTTGAGTAACCCATGCTTGTCGTAAAATTTATAGCAACCAAATTGCTCAAACATTCAAACATTGTATCTTATAGGATCCTGGGCCTAGACTTTCGAAGCTCTCTTAGCGCTAAGATAGACGTAAGTTAGTGTTAATGAATGGCACTTACGACTATCTTAGCGCTATGAGAGCTTCGAAATTCTAGGCCCTGCTTACTACTTTAGATCATACTGTTTTAGAAAACCTAGCAAAGTTTTCTTTTCTACTACAACAAAAGTTATATAATAGACATGTTATACCAACAACTGATTTTCTATAATATATTGTTATACTCCGCCGCCATTTTGACTGTATGTAATAATTGATGTGTGTGATATGTACTCTTATACCACCATTGGTGATCAATTGAGAATAAAGTGAAGTGAACTGAACTGAAGTGAAAAGGCGACTAACGGGATCGGGTGGTCAGGCTCGCTGACTTGGTTGACACATGTCACTGAAGGACAAAAGAAAGCATGAACCCGTGTTTGATGTTGGACATAACTGAAATTAACAAGCAATGGTTATTATATGCTGATGTATAATTTATGTTGTTTGATACGAGTATGATACGCGATGATATATTCATCATATCCCATCGAACATGACCTACACAAGTGAAAGTCCGGGTCAGAGGCGACTAAAGGGATCGGGTGGTCAGGCTCGCTGGCTTGCTTGATACATGTCATCGTTTCCCAGTTGCGTAGATCGATGTTAATGATGTTGATCCCCGGATTGTCTGGTCCAGATTCGATTATTTACAGACCGCCGCCATATAGCTGGAATATTGCTGAGTGCGGCGTAAAGCTTAACTCACTCACTCACTCACTCACTCACTCACTCACTGACAATATTTATTTTTGACAACATTCGTTAGCTACTCCCAATACGGTCATTGACCAGAAATTCAAGTTAATCTCTTTCATTTTAGCATTCCCATGCATTGTAAAACGGCTTTGTGCCGCAATCTGATTCGTTGCAAGAGATTGGTTAAACGGAATTCGGGGAGCATGAGGTCCCTTGTGTTCTGGTATCTTTTGTGTTTTGCAAGGTATTGCTTCTGCTCGTATCTTCAGATTTGGGTTTGTATTGAATTTTACTGGGAAGTGGTAATAAATATTCTGATATTTCACATAGGCAACAGCGATTATCAATCTTGATTGGTCTGTTGAAGCCATGTGACGTCATTGTTGAGACAAATATGTGACGTCAGATATTGATTACGTCATCTAGGCAAGCGTTTGTCGTCTGTGGACTGTATCTGAGGGAATTTCGTGCGTTTTGTCTTTGTTTTCTCCCCTTAAGTGAGTGATTATGGTTTTACGCCAGCTTTAGCAATATTCCAACAATATCACGGCGAGGGACACTAGAAACATATTCTACACACGAGGGAAATCAAACTCAGCTCGTCGGCGTGACGAGCGAACGCTTTGAACACTGTGCCATCGACCTTCTCTCTTAAAATGTCCGTGAAGCCCATTTCTGGTGTCCCCCGCCGTGATACACACACTCACTCACTCTGTAATATACAGATTAACCTACTGGACTTACAGCTGTTATCTTTGGTGGACATTATAATCCGCAAGTCCCTGGTCAAGTGGATCGTCATTAACATCATTCATGAGAAAAAGTTTGTTTGAACGAAATATAAGCACGAAGACTTCCTTGCATTGTGTATAGCATTCTTGAGGCTACAAAGTATTATGTGCCTTTTTATCATTCAAGAAACTTGTTTTCATTACAAACTATCAGCCTCTCCGTCCTCCGACTCCCTGTGGTAACAGACAGTGGGAACTGCAGGCTAGGGTTTAACTTCACAGCGCCTGCAGAGTGATTAAGATAAAAAAGGGATTAAAATATTCCCAACCCATCTCAAAATATTGCCAAACCACAAGCGCAGAACTTTGTTCTCAGTGGGTCAGTTCAGGATAAAGTCCAGATGCCATACTACCAGAGATCCTGCATGAAGGACAGTCCTGGATTAGAAACTGCGGATTAGCGGATTAAAGACAGTAGGCACCGTGAGCCGTCTCCTCAGGCTGTATGTAGTGGTCGAGTCTCTTCTTAAAGATCTTTGATAATCGTGATTTCCTCTATTATACAAATCGCTCTACTTAACCACTACCATCCCTATTTGTAAATCACTCGCTCCATTTGCTTACCCGTAGGTCAAAGAAAGAACGTTCCGTCCTGTTCGCGAACACTTCCGGGTTCAGGGGTCGCAAAATCTCACGTCACTGCGCGATAATTAATGGCAGCCTGAAACCTTCTGGCAGAGAAGCAATTAGATGAAATCATCCTGTAGGGACTTCCATGGGATTAATTATTGAACTCTTTCAAGTGCAGTGACCAGAGAAGTCACCTCCTTGAGGCTAGGAACACATTGTAATTGTTTTCTGTCGCCTTCAGTTGATGCAGAAAGGTGAGTACTGATGTCCCGGACGTTGCGTCCGCACCTCTTAAAGCCAAGCTTCTGATAAGTACAGAGGGAACGTTTAGTGGGACACTAAGCCGACGATAAATCCGATTAGGCAAA